GAAATCTAATGTTGGATTTGTTGCCTGTTAGTAACTTATCTCAAAATCTAACAGCTTAAAACAAGAAACACATGTTGTATCCCTTGTGGTTTCTCAGGTCATTAACCTGGTAGAAGCTTCAGTTCCTCAAGGCGTGCACCGCTAAGCTTCCTGTCACCTCTCAACTTGTTTCTCCCAGTGTCGTGACAGAGAGTGCCCACCCATGAAGGAGCTTGTCCTCAAACACCTTCATCTTGGACCCAACATGCTGTTACTTGAACTTTAAGTTACTATGCATGCAGAGAGGGAACGTGCCTCATGCACAGGAATGCACACTCAAAGTGTACTCATCAGAGCATGGGAAAGCTGGCTGATTCACACAAAGATGCTCATGGTTTGCTGCTGTATTAAGAGTCTCTGAGGGGACAGTCAGTGGGATCAGGATGAGAGCGAGTGAGGGAGAGTGTTATGAGAGCGACCTATAGACTGTGGGTCTGGTAGTTCAACTATGGCTGACTCCCAGCAGAAAGGCCAAGCTAGCTGTTTAGTGACTTTCCGATCTGGTGCTAGAATCCTGGAGAATTCTAGAGAGCTGCTGGTATTCAGGCTAAATTGAAATCCCAGAGAAGTAGATTCTAGTAACAATGATGGAATGCCTCAGTAGCAGGATAGACGAACTTGCCAGCAAGAGTGAAGGCAAGCAGGCAAACAGCAAATGCTTCCTTTATCCATGTTTTTATGTGGGCTGTCATCAGAAGGTGTGGTCCAGAGTTAGGGTGGGTCTTCCAACTTCAAGTGATCCAATCAGTAAAATCCCTCACAGACTTCAAGTTGACAACCAAAATTAGCCATAGTTGTGGTGGAAATGCACATAAAATTTAGCATGTTGGAGCTGGAGAGAGGGCGCAGCAGTTAAGAGCACTTGCTGCTCTTAGGACAGGGCGAGAGTTGGGTTCCCAGTGACCACCCATGTCTGCTGGCTCACAGCCTCCTCTGGCCACTGTGGACGCGTTCATACACACACAATGTTCATACTCACACAATGTTCATACACACAGACAAATGTTCATACACACACAATGTTCATACACACACAATGTTCATACACACACACACATGAAAACAGTAATAAAAAGTTTACCATACTGTGCATGTTAAAGCCCGTCATCCACTGACAGCCAGTGCGGTACATCCCAGGCTCCAGAACAGTTTACTACTCAGCAGAAGCTCCACAGCCGTCAGTGGCTCTGTTTCCCTTGCCAGCCCGGGCAAGCACTGGCTGTATTCTGACTGCATGGCTTTTCCTGTGGTGAGTGAAACTCTGTAGTATGCACTTTCTGTGCCTACTGGAGGGTTGCTAGTGTCACCTCACCTTCCTGTGGTGGCTGAGACCGTGTTCTGGTCTGTCAGCTCCCTGCCAGCAGGTCCAGGAGAGAGGAGAGCATCCCGGCAGGGTCTCTCCAGGGCTGATAGTGTCAACAGCCAAAAGAAGCACACTAGGCCAGGAGTCTTGTCGAAGCAGGAACTCAACTTTATTGCTTCAGCCTCTCACTTATGTAAACTTAGAGCATAGAGAGGGGAATTTTAGTGGGGTGAGATGATGTGGGGGGGGAAGGGTGAAGGAGGGTATGGGGTGACTGACAGGGCCAATAGCAAAGCTCTACATCAGCAATGGCGGGCCAAACAGGACTTGCTGAGTCACCCCAATTCAGAAGTGACTGAAATAGGTCTCAAAACTGGAACCAGGCTTGGGTTGGTCCACAAGGCGCAAACCAGGGCCGAAATGGGGCCTAACACTGGTCAGTTCTTATTCTTAACTTAAGTGACCTAGAGTCATCTGGGAAACCAGCACCTCAGTTAAAAGATTGTCCACATCAGGTTGTCTGTGGCCATGACTGTGTGGCCCTGTCTTGATTGTTGATTGCTACCATACAGAAGGGTCCAGGCTTGGTGGATGATGCCATCCCTGGGCTGGCGGTCCTGGGTAGTAGAAGAAAGCTGGCTGTGTGTGAGACAGCGGGAGAACAAGCCAGTGAGCAGCAGCCTTCCATGGCCTCTGCCCTGGCTTTCCACCCTGACTTCCCTCAGTGCTGGATGGGGACCTGTAAGTAAGTCAAGTAACCTTTCCTGCCCAAGTTGCTTTTAGTAATTGTCTAAGTTGGGGTTTCTTTTGCTGTGAGAGACCTCATGATCACAACAGCTCTTATTAAGGAAAACATTTTATTGGGGCTGGCTTACAGGTTCCGAGGTTTAGTTCATTATCATGATGGGAAGCATGGTGGCATGCAGGTGGACACTGTGCTGGTGAAGGAGCTGAGAGTTACATGGCTGGATCAACAGGCAGCAGGAAGAGAGTGACACTGGGCTTGGCTTGAGCACTTAGCTCATCCCAATTGATACACTTCCTCCAGCAAAGCCTCACCGACTCCAAGGCTACACCTCCTAGTAGTGCCATTCCCTCACGATGAAGCACTCACACCCATGAGCTCATTGAAGGCTATTCCTATTCAAACCACCATAAAATGATATTTATTAGAGCATCAGAAATCAAACTAGAATAGTGTACTGTTGTGTTTGGTGAAGTGTTCTGCACACATGTTAGATCTAGCTGTTTGGTGGTGCTGAAAATGGTGATTGCCTCCATTTCTTATTAATATTCTTCAGTCCTTTATTATAAGTGAGTTTGAAGTCTCCAACTGTTACTGTCACACTGTTTCTTCAGTTTTGTCAACTCCTATGTCTTGTACTTTGGGGTTCTGTTTGGTATACCTATGTATACAGTTGTTAGGTCGCCAGGTGTGGTGCTACATGCCTTTGATCCCAGCATTTGGAAGGAAGAGACGGGTGGATCTCTGAGACCAACCAGGTTTAGAATCTAAAAAAAGACAGAAGTAAAGCTGTTGAGCTTCTGGACGAGCTGCCCCTTTTACCAGCGTATTCTCTGGTAACTGAGATGAATGCATCAAGAGGGGTGAGTCACACCCAGGGCTCTGCACAGTTGCCGAGCAGCAGCCCCAGCTCTGGGAAGTCCTCTGTGGCCCCAGCCATCCAGTGATGGCTTCTGTGTGGAATGTTCTGGTCTTCCCTTCACTCTCAGCTCTTATGGGCTGTGCTTATAGGGCAGTCTTGGTATGATCTAATGGGACCATTTGTTTATCAGGTACCAGCTTCTATTTCTGCCTTTCAATAGCACAGTTTAACCCGCTGTTAGTTACATTTTGACTTACAGGGGAGGGCTTGGTTCCACCTCAGTGTCTGTTCTCTACAATGCTTTCTGTCCATCGTGTCCTTCTGTCCATCACATCCTTCTGTCTGTCCATCACGTCCTACTGTCCATCACATCCTTCTGTCCATCGCGTCCTTCTGTCTGTCCATCACGTCCTTCTGTCCATCACGTCCTCCTGTCCATCATGTCCTCTGTTCATTGTGTCCTTCTATTGTCATGTCCTTCTGTCTGACACCTCCTTCTGTCCATCAGTCACGTCCTTCTGTCTGTTGCATCCTTCATTTCTCCTTTGTTCACTTGATCTTTTTGCAGAGTATCACTTTTATTTTCTGAATAATTTTTAGGGCAGTGTTTTTCTGAGAGATGACAATTCGTGTGTCAACACTACAGCCATATAATTTTAAGCCAGCTTTATTTTCACCCTGCATAGGAAGTCTCTTCCGTGTAGGTCTGCCCTCCTTTGCTTTACTGGTGTTATCACCAATACATCGTGTGCTGATTGGCATAGCTTCATAGAGTGCTTTGTGCATTTCTTTTTTTGTGAATGACACCATGCTGGCTTTTATATCGGCCCATGCGGCTTTCCTGGTGCTCTGTCTTCTTGTGGCCGTGAGGTACTGACTCAGCATCTGCACTTCAGCCCGAGACTGGCTGCATCAGAAAAGGGCTGGGTGATGCTTGCTGGTGAAGTGCTTCCACCTAAATTTGAATTCCTAGAACCTAGGTTAAAAACTGGAGATACAGAGACAGTGGGAGCCATGGGCTCGCTAGCCAGGCAGTCTAGCTGAGTCAGTGACACGGTCTGAGGAAGCAAGATGGAGAGTGGTAGAGAAAGTCACCTGATGGTGACCTCTGTCCCCCAGGTGCACCTGTGCACATGCACACACAGATACACACATGCACAGATCACACACATACTCACACTCACAAAAAAAGCATCAAGAAAGGAAAAATTTGTAGTACTAGCAACCAAAGCTAGAATTTTCCACCAGATATCTGTCTACACATGGCCTTAATACAGAGTGATTCCAGTCTAAGTTTAGATGATAGTTTGCTTTAAAAACTTTTTTAACTCTGTGTGTGTGTGTGTGTGTGTGTGTGTGTGTGTGTGTGTGTGTAATATACACATGGTACAGAATGCACATGAAGGTCAGAACACAACTTTGTGAAATGGGCTCTCTCCTCAAGCCTTGCCTGGGTTCTCGATGGACTGCTTGCCAGGCCTCCTTGCGTCTGCCTTTGCCTACTGAGTCATTTCACTGGCCTGTGGTTTGCTTTTGTAAAACTCAGAGTGATTTAAAAATAATGTCCTAGTCTTCATTTGTCTTCCCCTCGATGGCATGCAGAGGTGCCAGCTGCAGCAGTGCTTGTGTCATGGATGTGGGCGCTCACTCTCAGGCAGTGCAGGGACTGCTCAGCGTCCGGCCAGCTGTCTTAAGTGCATGCCTCTGCATTGCATGCCGATGCTCTCCCACTCTTCTGATTTATCTTCATAAATTAAATAAGACATTGACTTTAGTAATTACAAAGTACTGAGGCTGGGGGTGGGGTGGCGCACGCCTTTAATACCAGCACTTGGGAGACAGAGGCAGCAGAAATCTGAGTTTGAGGCCAACTTGGTCTACAGAGTGGGTTCCAGGACAGCCACAGCTACACAGAGAAACCCTGTCACAACCAACCAAGCTGTTAGAAAGATTAGAATAAAGTGAGTTGTCCTCACGGATTGCATCTAAGTGTCCTCATGATTGGCTAATGAGGTGGAGAACCTAAAATGCTGTCTGGTGGTTTCTTGCAGCTTCTCGTATGGAAGATCTGAAAAGCCGCGGAGAAGCCGTAGCTAAGGAGATGAGTGAGGCCATGAAGGTAAAGCTGCGAGCACATGAAGTGGGAGCCCTCGCTGCTCACCGACAGTATGTGTGGGGCCCAGCAGGATGCTCAGGAGTCTGTTACGTGGCTCATGAGTACATTTGCTAAGCAACAGTGAAGTTGAGAGTTCATTTGTCTACTGTGTGCCACATATTCTGCCTGGAGGTCCCTGGAAGCCCCGTGTTCTACCTGGCTTCTCTAGTGAGATCTAGTGAGCTATGTTGGCAGCTTGTCAGACACTCTGGGATAAAGCTGTTTGTAATCCTTAGGGAGCATGTGGTGTCCGTCTACTTGACATTTACTGTCCTGTCTAATCCTCATAGTCCTCATAGAAGATTGGTATGTAACCCCAGTTTACAGATGAGAAAACAGGGGCATTAAGAACCTAAATAAGTTGCTCAGCCAAGTAACTGAACCAGAGTATTGGCTTTGGAACTTGTTTTTGTTGTTTCCGCTTTTGTGCCCGTGTGACCCCAGTTCGGGTGGATGCTTAGTGCACACTGTACCTGAGCTGCTCCCTCGGCGTGGGTGCTGCTCGTGATCACTCTTCTTACACTACGGCAGCTGGAGAGCCTCCAGGTCCTAGTACCATGGGCTCTCGTGGGACACTGATTTTACCTAAGCATCAAAGCAAATTCCTCGTACATGGGAATTACTTCAAACTCCAGAACCTTCCCAGTTCTAATGTCTGCTTTCTGTGTCTTTCTTTTCTTTCTTTTTTTTTTTTTTTTGGTATCAATTCTATGTTTTCCCGATAATTGATCAACTTGCTACTTTTATCCTATTCTTGATCCAGAATTGGTGGCCAGGCAGCAGCCTGCCTCTCTGTTTTATAAGCACGGCTTTATGGGAACACAAATGGAATCATTCATTTCCTTCCTGTCTGTTTCTTTCCTGTTCTGATAGTGGAGTCGAGTTCTTTTAAGGATAGGGCCTCCCTGAATTCCACACGCTGGCTTCAGACCGGAACCACAGTCATATACCACCATGGCTGGCCAAGGCTGAGGTCTTAGGCAGAGTCCCAGACAAAGTATAAAATGCTTACTGTTCCATCCCTTATAATCAAAATGTGCCTCTCCCTTCTCTTAATGATCAAGATTCCAAAAGCATGCTCATCAAATAGCAAGACTTCAGACTTTAATTCCTATCTCCGCACTCCCCTTACTCCCGTCAAATTTAACATTGCGGCCGGTTATTGTAGGAGTGAGCCACATCTTCTGAGTCTTAGCTTTTAGTTAAAAATCCCTTTACTTAAAGTGGGATTTTAATACATAGAGCCAAATATCCATAACCGCAGGGAGCCAGGGCTTAGCAATAGACTTGACCTGAGGAATTAAAATGCAGGGTGTCCATGTCTGTGAAGTGTGCCCGTATTGACATTCACATTTTAACCTGAGATTTTCCTTCCCAAGGCTTTGCCCGTGTTAATTGAACAAGGAGACGGCTTCTCCCAGGTCTTAAAGATGCAGCCTGTGATCCAGCTGCAGAGGATCAACCAGGAAGTCTTCTCCAGCCTTTACAGGAAAGCAGATGCCAAGTCTGACAAATGTGTGACACACGGAGAAACCACACCAACAGAGACTGTGGCCAGGAAGGCCTCCAACATTGTGCTAAAGAGAAAGCAAGCCCCAGACTGCGCCCAGAGACAGTGCTACCCGCTGCAGCCGAAGAGAATTAATCTCGATATGTGAGCTCTGTTGGGAAGCTGAAAGTCAATGTTGTCAACATTTAGGGTCACAGTCTGATGCCTGGGAGACTTTATTTAAAGTAACTGACTCTGTACAGGTACAGTGTACTGTTGTGATATCCTGGAGAGTCCTATGCTTCTTCCCTTGAGTCCCTGTGCAGTAGGTGAAACGACCTTCCAGTCCTGCACAGACCTGTCAGTGGCCTCATGACAGCGGCTCTCGGCTGCCATGCAGCTTTCGAGGCGTTCCAGGGACTTGCTCGGAGGAGTTTGTGCTGCACAGCTCTCTCTCTCTGTAGCTCTGAGGTGGTTCCCTGCGGCTTGCGAGCTGGCATTGGCTCTGCGAGGCAGCGAGTCATTTCTAGGCAGTTTATTGAACGAGTGCACAGAAAGTGGGCCTGACCTTAGGTTTGTTCCATGGTCATTAATTTGAGGTCTTAGAGTTTTGTAAGATAAATGAGAAGTCTATTATTTGTGCAGGAAATATTCTTAAAAAGAAAACCTGGGGCACAGAGCCTCTATTTCTTGCCTGTGTTTTCATTTTCATAAATCTTAGAACATAATTTGACTGGAAACTGATAGTTTCTTTTAAAGTCTTTATTTCCAAATAGATCCTTCCAGTTCAAAGTACATATTAGGATTGGTTAGCGTGTCATTGAGCACAGATCTCAGCAGAGTGAACTGCTCCAGTTATGGACGCTTGTACATCCGCGATGGAGGGTCAGACTCAGGTGGTGTCAGGAAGCTTACGCTGAGGTTTCAGCACAGTCTCTTACAGCTTATGCTTGTGTCTCTTACCCAGTGCATTGTAGACAGGGCTCCTCGCTTGCCATCAGTTTCCTTTTTGGGTGATTATGCATTTGTCCATTTTCAGTGGAATTGACTGATCATGACCTGCAAATTCTGTACTGCTTTTGTTCATTATGTCCTAATGATCATAAACATCTTGGTTTGTCTGCTCTTCTCAGTTGGGAAAGTTTTATGGCGATGCTGCTTTATGGAACTTAGGTTCTATTTTAGTTAAAACTTTATCTGATTTAGTGTGAATAATTGCATGGAGCAGTGTTGGAGTTTTTAAAGTAATGTGTAAAGACCAAAATCTTGGCGCTGTGCCTTCTCCAGCTAACAAGGCATTCCTGGTACCGGCGTTCGTGGGAGAGCAGGGTGGCACTCTGCATTCCAGAGTGAACTAGCTCTTGCCCTAAAGCCACTTCGTGACTCCAGAAGGTGACTGTTGGTACTGTGCCTCTCATGGCATTAAAGTGCTGTGAATGACTTTGCTTGAGAAGGGCCCACATAGTCAAGGCTAGGACAACAGCCACTCAAGCAAGACCACATCGTCAAGGCTAGGACAGCGGCTGGAGGCAGTACGGTGGGATTCCACACATAGTCAAGGCTAGGACAGCGGCTGGAGGCAGTACGGTGGGATTCCACACATAGTCAAGGCTAGGACAGTGGCTGCAGGCAGTATGGTGGGATGACACTGAAGCAAGAGCTGTTATATAGCAAGATGGGAGAATGAGCTTGGGGGCACCCCCTAGGAAGTCACCTTGTGAAAGGCCTCTTTCCACACATGGCCTCTGGGCATGCTCAGAGGAGTTTAGAGTGACTGACACTCCAATACCAGTGTGACTTGAGCCTGTGGCTTAAGCACTCACTTAATAGTAAGCTCTGAGAGGTGTTTCATCCTCAGTGCAGAAGCTGGGTGATCAGAGAACCCCAGGGATCCTTGGGGCCACTTACAACAGGAGTTCTTAATGGGGGTTATCTTCCCAGCAGGTCTGTGGTAATTGTGAAGATGTTTTTGCCTATCATAATTTAAGGCAGGTGTGTGTGTGTGTGTGTGTGTGTGTGTGTGTGTGTGTGGGCGGGGGGGGGGGGAAGAGTTGAGAGGTCAAGGTGTATCACGGTCATCTAGTGAATAGATGTCCTGATGGCTGACACAGCTAACCATCTGCTCCAAGACCAGTGATGCTGTGTGGAGAAGCCTGCTGAGGAGGGGACAGACCAACAGCATAATGTGGCACGGTCATTGTAGGTCTCCCAGCCAGGCTGGGAGATGTTGTCTTGGTTGTATAGTTATCACTTGTCTACATACCCCACTGTCAGCCTTCATAAGACAAACTGCAATGTATGATCTCACTATATAAAACCAGACTGTAGAATACATGTAAAAAAAAATCCACAAATAAAAAAAGACATGTTAATTGTAATTGCATTTTTCTTGCATTTTAAGGAATATGTGTTGATAGAATTAAATGACATCTTATCTTGGAATTTGCTCTTTAAACAGAAAAGGGACAGATAGATGAAGCAAATGTATAAGAAATATCAATGCTGTTGAACCTCTGTGATATAACATTTACTGTGTGCGTGTGTGTGTGTGCGCGCGCGCGCGCACGCGTGTGTGTCCTAGTGAAGCAGAGGACAGACGAGGCTTGAAGTCTTGGGTAGCCCAGTCTGGCCCTCAAGCACAGCGGTGTAGACCAGCCGTTTGGGGTGGGCCAACACTAATAATAAAGGGAGTTACTGCTTCTGATGCCGTGGATTAGCAAGAGGAAGGTATTGAAACTGAAAGACTGGAGCCGAAGGGGAGAGACTAAACATTTTCTTCCTCTATTGGGAAAGGAATACTGAATTGGAGAGGGTCCAGAGAGGCAGCTCACCTGTTAGGAGCCCTTGGTGGAGACCCCAGGTTTGATTTCTAGCCCCCACACAGTGGCTCACTGTGAGGAGTGGGTGCCGCGGCCAGTCCAAAATGGCACCTGACTTCCTCATACACCCTTGGAAAGCCCCGTCCGCAGTTAGCACTGCGCAGACTTGCTGCTACGTAAGATCAGACCATCTAATGAGTGCTGCACCGAGCCAACTGAGAACGCATTCGTGGCAGAATCTGAGTGGTGCAGGCAGGAGATTTAAGGACCGTGGAGAGAGGCTCGGGGGCCATTGGAGAAGAAGACAGGGTTCCTGAATAAACGGCTTCGAGAAGAGCTCCGTGTGTTGCCGTCTCATTCTGCAGGTCGGAGTGGATAGCGACAGCTCACGACTCTCTATAACCCCAGTCCAGGGGACCTCTTCTGGCTTCCTGGGCACTGCACACCTACGGGTCACAGACATGTAGTCAAAAGACCCAGACACACTTTTAAACATTCTCTGTCAGCAAAATTTAAACGAAAGGCCAAATCTAAGTTCCAGAAAGAGAGAGCCTCAAGAAGACTACAGATCCCACAGGCAACAGTTGAGGGCTGGTGAGGTGGGTCAGTATGTGAGGGCACCTGCCACCTGGGCCCACATGCTGGAAGGAGACAACAGATTCTTAGAAATTCTGCTGGGGACTCTACATTTCCACTGTTTATCTTCCGTCTCCCGCTCCCTCTCCCTCTCTCTCTCTCTCTCTCACACACACACACACACACTTTTTCATTTTTGAGATGGTCTGAAACTCACTATGTAGACCAGGCTGTCCTCAAATCCTTGCACTCACAGAGATCCATCTCCTTTTGCCTCCCAAGTACTAGGATCAGAGGCATGTGTCAGCCATGGGCAACCATGAAATATTTTTTAAAGCAGAGGCTATGTTGGTTTCTTGGTGAGGATAGTCAAGCCACCAAGCTGTTCACTCAAAAGGCTGTGGAGTAGGTGCGTGTCTCAAAAGAGGAACATAGAGAAGCAGAAAGAGGGCCAGAGCCACACCAAGGGCTGTGGTATGAATGTGGGCTGCCCGTCCCAATATGATAGGCTGAGAGGTGGTGGGAGGAGCCTTCAGGAGGTCATTAGGTCATGAGGATGCCACCTTCATCCAGAGATGATTGTGCTTCTTACAGGAGCAGGCTGACTTCCTGGTTCAGTCTCCTGCTTCTCTTGACAGGTCACCTCTCCATAAACCAACACTGGTTCTTCTGCTCTTCCAGCCTGCCAGGATAAATACTTGAACATGGCTTTCACCAGAATCTGGTGACTGTCCTGCCATGCTCTGAGACTTCCAGAACCCCCGAGCGAGATCACAAATTGGGTAGCAAATAAAGTAAAAGCAATAGGTAGGTTACTTAACCAAGGAAGGAAGTGTAATCATGCCTGCAAATAGATTATCTAGGAAACAGCATTTATACAGACAGTACTTTTGATCAGAATTTAATGAAGAATCTGGACAGTTCTATTGAGAGGCTAAAGAGGCTGGGAATTAGCCAGGTACTGAAGAGTCAGACTACATTAATCAAAAACTGAAGTAGGTTCTGAACCCTCCTGGACTCTCCCCTCAAAGGGACTATAAGTCTATTCTGAAACCAAATGTGAGCAGAGCTCAGGATCAGACTCAGGATGGTCCGAGTACTGCGCTCAAACGTGGTGAAACAGCTCCAGCCTGGTGACAGCTGCGGGGAGCTTTTCCAGTAACAGAATGAAGAAGTGTAGATGTGTTGACCAAGCAGGAAAAGTTTTGAAAGGTAAGATGAATAAGGAGATACACTTCATAGCACATGTCCATCATCTCAGCACTTGGGAGGCGGAGACAGGAAGGTTGAGAGTTTGAGGCCAGCCTGGGATGCCTGTTAATACCTTGTCAACCCCCCTCCCCCCAAAAAGGGAGGTAAGACTAGTGTGACAAGATGGTAGTTGTTGTTCATTGATGAACTTTATGTGTTGGTGTAAGGTGCAGGCCCTTAAACAGGACCAACTCCATTTGGTACTTGCAAAGACAAGTCTGGAAGTAAAAGTTGTGCTGTGATAACCAGCTGTGATGAGGTCAGAGCCTGGCGATAACCAGACACGAGTGGTTATCAGCCATGCACGTCAGCAGGGATGTTAAATCCAACATTAACGTGTAGCCATGACTGCGCTTCATCACACGTGTAGCCATGACTGCACTTCATCACACGTGTAGCCATGACTGGCCAACACATCCTCCGGACAAAGCCTCCTCAGTAGCCGGTCATCAAAGAGTTAACTGAGAGACCTATGCCTCCAGCTTCTTGGTCAAGCGCTCTGCCTCTTTGAGGTCAAATTGCTGGTGATGGTGCACACCTTTAATCCCAGCACTTGGGAGGCAGAGGCAGGCGGATTTCTGAGTTCGAGGTCTGCCTGGTCTACAGAGTGAGTTCCAGGACAGCCAGGGCTACACAGAGAAACCCTGTCTCAAAAACCAAAAGAAAAGAAAAGAAAAGACAAATTAGCAATTCAACTATCTGGAAGCCGCAGCCTGACCCCTGACCCCGCCTTCAGGGACTCCAGACCTGTAACCCAAAACCATCAAAAGGACTCAGGTCATATAATCCATGAATGAATGATGTATTTATTGCTATGCTTATTTGTGTTCATTGTGCATACTGTTAGAGGCAATACATAGGAAATGTGACGATATCTTGTAGCAATAGTCTTAGCATTGATGATAATATATTGCTTGCTGTGCGTTATTAATCAAAAAGTAACTGAATTCCAAAACCTCTGTCTTTGACATCTCTCTCTTCCCACTCGAGAAGCTGATGATCTCACAGTCAAATCCAGCATACGATCCTTGAGTAGAGAAGGACCTGTTGCTCCTCTCCCGAGGGGGAGTCTAACTCCTTATCAATAGCCTGCTCGTAAGAGGTAAGAGTTCCTGCTTTCGACAGTTGGAAAGTTGTGTAATCATAGTTTGAATGAAGTTGTCAGACATATGCTTTTCCCACACCTCACATGCTCGCTGACTCAGCAACGATGGTCCTAGGGGGTGGGTGGAGATCCCCCACCTGTCCAGTGTGCTCCTGTCACATGACATCTGTAGTAGCTGAGGACCCTTTAGGGAGAAGTAGGAACCGAAGGAGCCGGGGAGCCAGAGCCCCTAGCACTTTGACCTCTAGAGGGAACATGAGAGTGAAACTTGGCTTTGGCAAGTTCTGTGGAATCAACTGTTTGCAAGAAATGGCTTTGTCTGTTTCCAGAAACTGCAGTGGAACATTAAGATATTTGTAAACAAACACAGCCCCCTGCCTGGGGTGATGGAGTCTGTCCCCAGGCTTGCCTTCCTTGGGACACCAGTGGCTTCAGGATGGGGGCCCATGCTCAGTCCCCAACAGAGTGAACCAAGGGCGTGTCAGCTGAGGCTGCAGGGGAACCGTGAGCAGCTTCAATCAGTGTCAGCTGTGAAAGGGGCTTCCCCCTCAGAGATCTCAGCTGGAGCTGCATGAGACTGTTAGCAAGGCAGACCAGAATTTGAATCCTCAGAAAACACGATTTTCCTAATGAAATTCACTTCCTCTTGTGCCTCCCGGAAGGAAATCTCATTAAAATGTTGCTGGAACAGATTTGCTCCGGGGCAGAACACCCATGTGCTTAAGATAAAATATTTGAAAAAGCCAACTTAGCACTGCAGTCCTGTCCCTCAGATGCAGGACTCCCAGCACTCGGGTTAGGTCAGGGAGGTGGACATAAGTTTGAGGCCAGCCTATGCTATCTAGTGAGATTCTGTCTCAAAATAACAAAGCAGCAAACAACCCCTCCCACCCTCACCCCCACCACTCCCATCCTCCCCACCCCCACTCCCGCTTAAAACTTCACTGAGACTACATCCGTGACACTTAACTCCTGCTGGTCCCTAAGCAGACACATGTTGGACGAATCCTGCTGGAGCGCCTGGTGAAATGCTGCACAGATAAACAGCAGCTCACCGGAAATGCACAAGTTCAAGCTTGAAGGGCAAAGCATCCACAGCTACTTGTGAAGTCTCGACAGTTACATGACCCCCGCCCCATCTCTTGGGAGGCATCCCCTAAGATTCCAGCCTTCTTATCTGAGACTTAGTGAGCTGATAGGTGAACTGCAGAGTTTACATTCTGTGGGAAAAGGGGGGCACTCTAGGAGGAGAGAGGCCGATCACAGTGAGGGGTAAAGAAAGACTTCCTTGAAGAGGTGGCTTCAAGAGCCTCTTGAATGATGGGAGAACACAAAAGCCCACTGTGGGTATGTTGGAAGGAGGCGTGAGCTAAATTATGAAGTAAGTTAAAGGGCAGAGGTGATGAGTGACCCTTTCTACAGGATGGAAGGCCACTTTGGGTATTTTTTTTTCTCCACATAACACTTTTATAGATTCTCTGGGAGTTTCATATCATAATCCCTTTCCAGTTCCCCCTTCTCACCTCTCCTTGTGACCTGCACCCCCCTCCAAAAAAAAAAAAAGAAGTAAAAAAAAAGAACAGATTTACTTTGTGTTTTCTGTATACTCACTGGAGCATGGTCAAAC